TTGGTCGCGGTACAAGCTGTTTGGCTCGCTGAAGGGAGTTGGACAGTATGTGTGTCGGTCACAGATGTGGGTTGGTGTGTTTGTCTATCGGTCACGTATAGTGGTTGTGGAGTTTGTCTGTTGGTTGCTGATGGGGTGTCGGTCGGTAATGTTTGGTTGCTGTGTGCTGTTTTACAATGTCTTGTTAAATTCGAAAGTAGTGTAAATACTTTCCCGCAAGTTGAACAGGAATGTCTTCCTCGACCGTGTGCAGAGTCGTGATGTCTTGTCAAAGCGTCTTTGCGAGTGAACAGTCGGTTGCAGATCTCACATGTGAAACGGGTCATGGCTGGGTGGGTGGTAGGTTGGGCGGCTTCCATTATTGACGATGTGTCTAGTAGTCGGATGCTTGGGTAGGTCGCTGGCTGTAGAATAAAAAGAATTACATAAAATAAAATACATGAAATAAAAAACATACTTAAAATAAAATTGAAAATGAAACGTACCTATGGGTTTGCACGTCTAAGCTGAACGTGAAGTTAACTGTATGTGGAGATCCGAAGTGGTGTAGTTGGATGTAGTTGGAACGTTTGGTTCAGTTGATGCCTCGGGGCTGGGTAGGTAGCTCACTGGTTGTCTTGTTTGGTCGGTTGTACACTAAAAAGAAAATTCAATTGACTACTTATTTAGATACATATTTATTTAAAGGATATGTAAAGGATAATTCATACTATTAACCTTACCTCTGTGTGCGATACAAAAAGTAAAGTAAATACATGTGACTACTTATTTAATAAGATTTGATTTTAATGGGGTTAGCGCCCTTAACACAATTCATACTATTAACCTTACCTCGGTGTATGATACAAAATTAAAGTAAATACCTGTGACTACGTATTTAGAAAAAGGTTTAATTAAAAGGGGTTAGCACTTTTTAAACAATACGTACTATTATCCTTACCTTTAATGTTAATTGCGAAGGTTCTGTAAACATGCACACAGGCTGCGGTCCGTGGTTGTTTAGGTAGATGTGGTGATTGGTAAAGCTGGCGTGGGTTAGTCTCGGGAGTCAACAGAGGTCTCAGGCAGGATAAGTCGCGGTGAAGTTTGGTGTGAAGTCCGAAGTCGAATTGGTTTAAAACTAAATTTTCGCGGTCATTTATACGATTGCTCAGCCTAATTACACCACCAGCTGTCGCACAACAGCTGTTGCATAATGACCTAAGTGCTTCGCGGAGCTAACAAAGCGATCGGTAAAATCGATTAACGTGGTAACAGATGTTCCCACACTTAACGCTGGCTTCGCGTTAATTACCATACCCCCCCGGTGGGATCGCTTCGCGAACCCACATAAATCATCATGACCCGTCAAACCGCTCGGGGGAAACTCGGTGATGCATAACACAAATTTAATTAGGTGTGATGGGCCAGCGGCTGCGATCAATACATTCCCATTAAAACGGGCAGCGCGTGTCATGGTAACAGATGTTCCCAATTAATTAGGCGGACCATCATTTGATGGCCCGTGGGTGGAATCAATATTAACGCGCCCGTTGTTTGACAAGAACAAAGGATCGCGGATCGATAAGTACCACATGTTGCACGGCTGGTTAAAGGTTGGTATACAAAGACTGTTCTAGTACACGTTCGTTGTAGGGGAGAATTTAAAAATTAAAATGAAACTAATTAAAATGAATTAAACCAACAAATTAAACAACAAAGAAAAGAAATATATCAAATAAATAAATAAACAAAAGTAATTAAAATCAAATTACGTAACTAGTTAATAATAATTTAACTAATTATAAAATAAAATAAAATTAAAAATAAACAAAATAAAAATAATTAAAAAGTAAACAAATAATCAAATTACGTAACTCGTCAATAAAAATAATTAAAAAGTAAACAAATAATCAAATTACGTAACTCGTTAATAAAAATTACACAATATAAACAAAGTAATTAAATTAAACAACAAGTAAACAAACAAATTAAACAAAATAAAAATACAATCAAAGTAATTAAATTACGTAACTCGATAATAAAAATTAATTAAAAATTTAAAAACTCCTTAAAAACGCATTAAAATTACGTAACTAGGTCAAAAATTAATTAAAATTTAAAAAACTCATTAAAAAAACGCATTAAAATTACGTAACTAGGTCAATGATTACGTCATAATGTTACTAATTACGTCACAAGGTCACCAAAAGGTGACCTACTTCCCCACCACCTCCGCCAACCCTAGTTGGCGTAGTATTTTACTATATGTCGTTGTACCAGGCTGCGCATCCTGCTCACCCACCCTCCACATCCCGATGCGCCAGGCTGGGAGTATTTTGCTATATGTCATTGTACCAGGCCCACATCCTGCTCCCGAGTATTTTGCTATATGTCATTGTACCTTCCCACATCCTGCTCCGCCAAAAATGCGACCCAAAAGGGACCTAATATACTACTTATACGATGTCAGAATCACATGGTAATTTTCAAATTTCTTAGTTTTTTTAACATTTAAAATATTTAGTCTAGTATGTTTTTTTTGTTTAGTATCCCACTAAAGGCTATTCAATTTTGCACATTTTATAGTATTTGTAAAGAAATACATTGAACGGCCAAAATGGCCCGCGAGTTGAATGGAAGAGGGGTCAAAATCCGTTACTCGACTGCCGTAGAAAAATCATCTCGGTGATAGTTTTCAACTGGTAAATGAGATATATTATGTAAAATCCACGACTATAAAAATTATACATAATTAGAGGGCATAAAATCTACTTTTTAATGGTACAAAGCTTACTACTATATGAGTCCATTTTATTATCGAAACTATGAAGTGAATAGCTACTATATTTGGGCGTTTTAAGGCCGTTTGACATACCTAATTTCATGGGAAACTTCTTCCACCTACAGACTAGCACCTAAACCCATAGTTTTCTCCATGTCGAGAATAATACTCGAGTCCATCTCTCCCCAGACTAGCACCAGCACCTAAACCCATAGTTTTCTCCATGTCGAGAATAAAACTCAGTCCATCTCTCCCCAGACTAGCACCAGCACCTAAACCCATAGTTTTCTCCATGTCGAGAATAAAACTCGAGTCCATCTCTCCCCAGACTAGCACCAGCACCTAAACCCATAGTTTTCTCCATGTCGAGAATAAAACTCGAGTCCATCTCTCCCCAGACTAGCACCAGCACCTAAACCCATAGTTTTCTCCATGTCGAGATAAAACTCGAGTCCATCTCTCCCCAGACTAGCACCTAAACCCATAGTTTTCTCCATGTCGAGAATAAAACTCGAGTCCATCTCTCCCCCGACTAGCACCAGCACCTAAACCCATAGTTTTCTCCATGTCGAGAATAAAACTCAGTCCATCTCTCCCCAGACTAGCACCAGCACCTAAACCCATAGTTTTCTCCATGTCGAGAATAAAACTCAGTCCATCTCTCCCCAGACTAGCACCAGCACCTAAACCCATAGTTTTCTCCATGTCGAGAATAAAACTCGAGTCCATCTCTCCCCAGACTAGCACCAGCACCTAAACCCATAGTTTTCTCCATGTCGAGATAAAACTCGAGTCCATCTCTCCCCAGACTAGCACCTAAACCCATAGTTTTCTCCATGTCGAGAATAAAACTCGAGTCCATCTCTCCCCCGACTAGCACCAGCACCTAAACCCATAGTTTTCTCCATGTCGAGAATAAAACTCAGTCCATCTCTCCCCAGACTAGCACCAGCACCTAAACCCATAGTTTTCTCCATGTCGAGAATAAAACTCAGTCCATCTCTCCCCAGACTAGCACCAGCACCTAAACCCATAGTTTTCTCCATGTCGAGAATAAAACTCGAGTCCATCTCTCCCCAGACTAGCACCAGCACCTAAACCCATAGTTTTCTCCATGTCGAGAATAAAACTCAGTCCATCTCTCCCCAGACTAGCACCTAAACCCATAGTTTTCTCCATGTCGAGATAAAACTCGAGTCCATCTCTCCCCAGACTAGCACCTAAACCCATAGTTTTCTCCATGTCGAGAATAAAACTCGAGTCCATCTCTCCCCCGACTAGCACCAGCACCTAAACCCATAGTTTTCTCCATGTCGAGAATAAAACTCAGTCCATCTCTCCCCAGACTAGCACCAGCACCTAAACCCATAGTTTTCTCCATGTCGAGAATAAAACTCAGTCCATCTCTCCCCAGACTAGCACCAGCACCTAAACCCATAGTTTTCTCCATGTCGAGAATAAAACTCGAGTCCATCTCTCCCCAGACTAGCACCAGCACCTAAACCCATAGTTTTCTCCATGTCGAGATAAAACTCGAGTCCATCTCTCCCCAGACTAGCACCTAAACCCATAGTTTTCTCCATGTCGAGAATAAAACTCGAGTCCATCTCTCCCCCGACTAGCACCAGCACCTAAACCCATAGTTTTCTCCATGTCGAGAATAAAACTCAGTCCATCTCTCCCCAGACTAGCACCAGCACCTAAACCCATAGTTTTCTCCATGTCGAGAATAAAACTCAGTCCATCTCTCCCCAGACTAGCACCAGCACCTAAACCCATAGTTTTCTCCATGTCGAGAATAAAACTCGAGTCCATCTCTCCCCAGACTAGCACCAGCACCTAAACCCATAGTTTTCTCCATGTCGAGAATAAAACTCAGTCCATCTCTCCCCAGACTAGCACCTAAACCCATAGTTTTCTCCATGTCGAGAATAAAACTCGAGTCCATCTCTCCCCCGACTAGCACCAGCACCTAAACCCATAGTTTTCTCCATGTCGAGAATAAAACTCAGTCCATCTCTCCCCAGACTAGCACCAGCACCTAAACCCATAGTTTTCTCCATGTCGAGAATAAAACTCAGTCCATCTCTCCCCAGACTAGCACCAGCACCTAAACCCATAGTTTTCTCCATGTCGAGAATAAAACTCGAGTCCATCTCTCCCCAGACTAGCACCAGCACCTAAACCCATAGTTTTCTCCATGTCGAGAATAAAACTCGACTCCATCTCTCCCCAGACGAGCACCAGTTGCCCAGTGTACCGCCCCTACTGGTCACCATCCCAAGGACATATCCCAAGTCAAGTCCCAGGTGTGACCCGAGCTCATGCCCTGGCTATGGTGAGTCACTCCTCATTCACTTCATTTCATCCTTCCTAACTCGAATTATTTCATTCACTTCATTTCATCCTTACTAACTCGAATTATTTCATTCACTTCATTTCATCCTTACTAACTCGAATTATTTCATTCACTTCATTTCATCCTTGCTAACTCGAATTATTTCATTCACTTCATTTCATCCTTACCTAAGTCAAGCTTTTTCAAAAGCTAACGAAATACAACGTATCAAATCAGCCAGGGGTTAGGAAATAATTTTCTCTTGTGTTGTCATTTGTGGTTTTTATTTGCAACCATTTTATCTCCATTTGAAATGTTGCTGTTTGTCTCTGAGTGCCTGGAGAAATTGTTGCTTGTCACAGTAACGTTGCTTTCTCCCCCCCCCCCCCCCACCTGTTTAAATGGTTCTCACGTTTGATATAGCACTTCATACTTACAAAAACTGTAGAAATTGTCAACTCCGCTAAATATTTGCACCTATGCGCCTACCCCAAATCTTAGTCCAACTTGCTCGATCCCTAATCTGAAATCGTAATCCCACTTATGCGTAGCCTACCCATAAATCTTAGCCCAACTTTAGGGTAGCCTACCCCTAAATCTCAGTCCAACTTAGCGTAACCTACCCCTAAATCTTAGTCCAACTTAGCGTAGCCTACACGTAAATCTTAGTCCAACTTAGCGTAACCTACCCTTAAAACTTAGTCCAACTGTTAGTCGTTTTCCCTTCCCAAAAATTGCAGTGGGTTGGAGTTTGTGTACACAATGGTGTATGATGTGTACTACACAATGGTGTGTGTTGTGTACCACACAATGGTGTGTGTTGTGTACCACACAATGGTGTGTGTACCACACAATGGTGTGTGTTGTGTACCACACAATGGTGTGTCTACCACACAATGATGTGTGTTGTGTACCACACATTGGTGTGTGTTGTGTACCACACAATGGTGTGTGTACCACACAATGGTGTGTGTTGTGTACAACACAATGGTGTGTGTACCACACAATGGTGTGTGTACCACACAATGATGTGTGTTGTGTACCACACAATGGTGTGTGTACCACACAATGATGTGTGTTGTGTACACCTTGAAATGTACATGCGTGATGCTGCCACCCGTCTAAGAGAGGCCGGGTGCCTCTTGCTTTGACCTTTATCTACCTTGAGCTGCTAGAGGTCACCTCTAGTTGCTGGTGTGGACAAAAATAGACTCGCCACTTTTCACCTACTGGGCCAGGCCGGGACCTAAGTTAGACGACTCTTTGTTACAGACGCCTTGCTTTCTTTCTGTATAAAAACTACAGTACACCTACCCCGTGTTTTACAGTGGTTTAGTTTGAAAACGGCACCCTACTCGCTCTGTAGAGGTTACCTTTATTATCAGCACATTCTTATAACCGATGTACCTGCACGTGAGCCGTTCGATGACGTCAGGGTGAGCTCTTCTGCAGCTGCTGTTGGCTGCCGGCCATCATCCACCCTCTCGTCATGCGCAGTCGGTGGGCTTCTCCCAGACTTTAGCATCAGTCAGTAGACAAACCGTTCACATACATCATGGCTCAACTCCCAGACTTTAGCATCAGTCAGTAGACAGACCGTTCACATACATCATGGCTCAACTCCCAGACTTTAGCATCAGTCAGTAGACAAACCGTTCACATACATCATGGCTCAACTCCCAGACTTTAGCATCAGTCAGTAGACAAACCGTTCACATACATCATGGCTCAACTCCCAGACTTTAGCATCAGTCAGTAGACAGACCGTTCACATACATCATGGCTCAACTCCCAGACTTTAGCATCAGTCAGTAGACAAACCGTTCGCATACATCATGGCTCAACTCCCAGACTTTAGCATCAGTCAGTAGACAAACCGTTCACATACATCATGGCTCAACTCCCAGACTTTAGCATCAGTCAGTAGACAGACCGTTCACATACATCATGGCTCAACTCCCAGACTTTAGCATCAGTCAGTAGACAAACCGTTCACATACATCATGGCTCAACTCCCAGACTTTAGCATCAGTCAGTAGACAAACCGTTCACATACATCATGGCTCAACTCCCAGACTTTAGCATCAGTCAGTAGACAAACCGTTCACATACATCATGGCTCAACTCCCAGACTTTAGCATCAGTCAGTAGACAGACCGTTCACATACATCATGGCTCAACTCCCAGACTTTAGCATCAGTCAGTAGACAAACCGTTCGCATACATCATGGCTCAACTCCCAGACTTTAGCATCAGTCAGTAGACAAACCGTTCACATACATCATGGCTCAACTCCCAGACTTTAGCATCAGTCAGTAGACAAACCGTTCACATACATCATGGCTCAACTCCCAGACATGGGCTTTCATTTTGTTCTATATCTTGTAACAGTACTTGTGTATCAGGTTACTGGCACCACGCAGATCCTGTTAGTTGGTACCACACCAAACTACACCAAACATTGGTCCTCTAGGGTTAGATACAAACATTGGTCCTCTAGGGTAAGATACAAACATTGGTCCTCTAGGATTAGATACAAACATTGGTCCTCTAGGGTTAGATACAAACATTGGTCCTCTAGGGTAAGATACAAACATTGGTTCTCTAGGGTAAGATACAAACATTGGTCCTCTAGGGTTAGATACAAACATTGGTCCTCTAGGGTAAGATACAAATATTGGTCCTCTAGGGTTAGATACAAACATTGGTTCTCTAGGGTAAGATACAAACATTGGTTCTCTAGGGTAAGATACAAACATTGGTCCTCTTGGGTTAGATACAAACATTGGTCCTCAAGGACTAGATACAAACATTGGTCCTCTAGGGTTAGATACAAACATTGGTTCTCTAGGGTAAGATACAAACATTGGTCCTCTAGGGTTAGATACAAACATTGGTCCTCTAGGGTAAGATACAAACATTGGTTCTCTAGGGTAAGATACAAACATTGGTCCTCTAGGGTTAGATACAAATATTGGTCCTCTAGGGTTAGATACAAACATTGGTCCTCTAGGGTAAGATACAAACATTGGTTCTCTAGGGTAAGATACAAACATTGGTTCTCTAGGGTAAGATACAAACATTGGTCCTCTAGGGTAAGATACAAACATTGGTCCTCTAGGGTTAGATACAAACATTGGTCCTCTAGGGTAAGATACAAACATTGGTCCTCTAGGGTTAGATACAAACATTGGTCCTCTAGGGTAAGATACAAACATTGGTTCTCTAGGGTAAGATACAAACATTGGTCCTCTAGGGTTAGATACAAACATTGGTCCTCTAGGGCTAAGATACAAATATTGGTCCTCTAGGGTTAGATACAAACATTGGTCCTCTAGGGTTAGATACAAACATTGGTCCTCTAGGGTAAGATACAAATATTGGTCCTCTAGGGTAAGATACAAACATTGGTTCTCTAGGGTAAGATACAAACATTGGTTCTCTAGGGTAAGATACAAACATTGGTCCTCTAGGGTAAGAGTTTGTTGAAGGAATAACGCTAAGATCGAGGAAAGTAAACTTTTTATTTTACAAGCTATTATTTAACTTACTGTCTCTGTCTAGGGGGTCGTCCATAAACGACGTCACACTCGTAGGGGGGAGGGGGTCCGTAATTTTGTGACGGTGTGTGATGGGGGGGGGGGGGATTGGAGGGTTTGACGTCACACTTTTGCATTATAAAAAAGCAATGCTAGAAAAAGAGTTTCAGCGGTTTTTTTCGCGTTTTAGAAACTGGTTTTAAAATAAATTGTAACAAGAGATGATCAAAATACTCTATGTTGACAGAGTTCTAACAAGATTTTGGAAAAAATGGTGCAATTTGGCACCCCGGGCTAAACTGTGAGCACCTTGCGTATATGTTTGCGTTTGTGTTTTCTTAGTGCTTAGGTTGGGTTTCTGGTTGGGTTTGTGTTTGGATTCTGTTTATTTTCTATTTTTTGTTTGTGTTTGTGCTTTCTTTGTGTTTGCGTTTGTGGTTGGGTTTGTATTTGCGTTTGCGTTATGTTTGCGTTTTTTTTGGTTGGTTGGTTGTGTTTAGGATTAGGCTAACCCTAGGGTGGGCAATGCCGGGTATATGCTGATTACTAATCACACATGTCATGGTCCTTTACAGATAGGTTTTCACAGAGGCCACTGCAGGGCCTGGCCGGGACGGCTAGTAGATTATAAAGTAGTCATTTAAATAGTAGTGTATTATCAAATATTTAAAGAAAATAATTTATTTTCTACTTTTTAGTGCATCATTATTAAAAGCGTGTTATTTAAACATTTTATTAATTTTTTAAAAATCTTTTTTTATTCCGGTTTGAAAACTGTTTGTGTTGGATTAGCATTCCGGTTCGAAATTAGAAAACACATGTAAACAAACCGATTTTTGTTGAATGAAAATGTGAAACACTTTCTGAAATGTGTTTGTAAGCTTTTTAATAAGAAGAATAACTACAGACTTGAATACTTGAAATGTGTGAAGTAGCTATGCTTGTTATGTGTAACGTAGCTATGCTTGAAATGTGTGACGTAGCTATGATTGAAATGTGTGACATAGCTATGATTGAAATGTGTGACGTAGCATGTTTGAAATGTGTGACGTAGCTATACTTGAAATGTGTGACGTAGCTATGATTGAAATGTGTGGCGTAGCTATACTTGAAATGTGTGACGTAGCTATGATTGAAATGTGTGACGTAGCTATGATTGAAATGTGTGACGTAGCTATGATTGAAATGTGTGGCGTAGCTATACTTGAAATGTGTGACGTACCTGTGATTGAAATGTGTGACGTAGCATATTTGAAATGTGTGAAGTAGTAAGGGATGGTGGACTAGACTTGTTATTGTTAGTTGGCGCAATATGCAAACATGGCCATGCTCCCATAGCTAGGCCTGCGTTGGTTCTGAATGTGCTGGGTACAGCTGTTGCCTTGGTACAAGCAACTCGACTATCTCTCATTCTCTGTTATTGTGTATTGGCACGTGAGGAATCATCGCGTGAAATCTTAA